TGGGATGGTTTTTAGAGCATAGTCTCCCACTATTGCGTGTGGACAAGCGTCTTTGTGGGGCACCTCAGGTCACTTCGGTACTTACCCAATTTATATTTTTATTAGATCAAAGAATTCGCCTCGTCGATTGGAGTTATGTTTAAATAGATTTTTTGTATTATATTTTTGTAATTATTATTATTATATCGCGTAAATAAATTTTTTAAAAAAATTAGATAATTTTATATAATTTGAAATACACTATATTTTGTAATGATTGAAAATGAAAATTTTAATTAGTTTGTCGATTTTTTAAAAAAGTTTATACACATTGTATTTTAAAAACGTTTAATAAAAGTTTAAAAGAATAGGAAAGCCGATGGTTTTTTGCGGTGATAAGTTGTTGATTTCAAAATCTAAATTTCGTGATTAAAATTTATGAATTTTGCGTTGGTTATGTGTTGATTGTTAAAATCTGTGCATTACAAATTATGAATTTTGCTTATTCTGCAACAATTTTATAGTTTATTCTTTAGATTATTTCGGATATTAAAAAAAATTTTAGTTCAACTATGCTCATAATTTAGGCTCATTTATTTTTTATGTTGGGACCTTTCGGAAGCTATAATTTACAAATAAGGGCCCAAAAAAATAAAATAATTATATATAAGGGCCCTGTTTTAGATAATTTTATTATATCTTATAATACAGTAGACAATATTTGATGATTTTAATATTATTCGAATCATTTCGTTAAAACAGATCGAATGATACTAAAATTGCTAAATTTAAATTACTGGATAATAAGATATCACGATTTAAACAGATTTTGGAAAATGTTAAATAGCTCGTAATTCAGTAAATTAAATTTAGCAATTTTAGTACCATCTGATCCGTCTTGACGAGATGATTCGAATGGTATCAAAATTATCAAATTTTGTTCACTGCATCATGAGATATGGCAAAATTTTCTAAAATAGAACCCTTATATGTAATTATTTTACTTTTTTGGGCTCTTACTGTATTTGTAAATTTACCTATATTTTACCTATAAATGTAATATTTCTGTGCTATATCTTAACTTTCTACAACTATTCTGTGCTATCTTTGATACATTCTGCGTTTATAGTCTGATTCTGTGATTTCTGCAGCATTCTGTGGAATGCAGAAAATCATCGGCCCTGCTTATTTAGTATAGGTAGAAATATAAAAATAGTATAAGATTATTTAATATAAAAAAATACTAACTCTAACTCTAATCTAACTATTATTTAAACTATAACTCTTATTTAACTCTAACTATTTATAAATTTGTTTAAATTAGACTATGTAAAATTAATTAATTGGTTTTCATAACCTGGCCAGGTCAAAATTTGAAAACTTCTAAAAAAATTTTTATATATTTTAATAACTGAATAGATTTTGAAAAAAAATTTTTATAAAATTTTATATATGAAATTTTAAAAAAAAAACTAACCAGCTAGGTCTATTTTTAAATTTTCATGTTATAAAAACCAAGTAATTAAATTTGTT